CTTACTAAATTAACAGACACGTGAAGATGCTACCTGAGGTTTCTTCTGAAGCCCAGTATGGATCATTCTCTTCATTGTCGGCAGCAGGCAAACCGTTTTCATCTTCTTGGGCTGATACACTTGCTGGTAGATCTGGTTCACTGATTTAACAGGAAATGGAGAATCTCAATATGTAACATTATTGGGTTATGATGCTTAACAATATTAAGAACTGAATTAGTATTATTTGGTGCACTGCAACATTGATAGCAATGAAAAATGTATCAACAGCCAGTTAATATGAATTACTTACTTCCATTCGTCAGAAAAAGCAAATATGACAATATTAGTAAAAGGCTCGATTGAAGAACAAATAAGAATCTATTCTTTATAAGTAACTATACAAATAAGAATCCCATGACCGATAAGGCCATGATGACAAGACCAAACAACTTGCATTTCAAAAGAAAAAGAATAACAACCTCTGTACAAAAACCCCTGGCCAATCAGAAATCATTGATAGTGTAAAGGCCCTTGCTCTCCATGCTTATATAGCAAAATTTTAGAAGATACATTAGGCCTGGTGTTTACAAGGAGTCTCCTAAGTTTGTCCAGAGATTTAAATATCAGTAGAAAATATACAGAACTTCTAGTATAAGAGAACCCTTAATTTGTCTAATTAGAAATTATTGAATATACGATATGGAGGATCCATATAACTGACATCAACTAGTAAAACTATAAGCTTCTGATCGATAACCTGGTCACTAGTAATTTGTCTAACCTGGTCACTAGTAAAATTATAAGCGTCTTATCATAACCAAGAGAAATAACCCAAAGTTCGACCAAAAGTATGTGGTATGTTTCCAGGACATTGTCAACATCCACATGTCATTGTGGACACTTATTAATACAGCATTTCCAACGGATTATCAAATCCAACTTACCAGAGGTGTAGCCTAGTGGTCAATAAAGTGGGTTGAGAACCATGAGGCCTCAGGTTCAAATCCTCACGAAGGCCAAAAAAACTAGGTGATTTTTTCCCATATGTCCAGGCCCTGGTGGACAAAGTTATCCAGTACTTGTGTTGGTGGGAGGTAGCAAGTACTGCATGGAATTAGTCGAGGTGGCCGCAAACTAGCCCGGACACCGCAGTTATCAAAAAAATGCATTACTCTCCAAAGAAGCTAACTCTAATTGTCATTGCCAGAATAGTATTTGCATTTAAATAGCCTCACGAAATACAAGGCCATCCTTATTCCTTACAGCACTATCATTTAACTAGGGTGAAGACAAAGACAAGCAGGGCCAGATAGTACAAACAACTGCTTGTTAACAGATACATATCATTCAACAAAGTGCAACACTTAACAACCATTACATACAAGCTTTCATCCAACAGTAAGCTGCACGATTTCTCTAACTTAGCTGAATCATTTCTGAGAGTGCCAAAAGTTCATAAAACCCCATCTTCACAGACTAGTGCACTGAACAAATATAGACAGACACCGAAAGAAGCAAAAAAACAAAACTTCTGAATGAAAAGAGAGAAGCTTTAAAAGTAGTTTCCAGGCAAAAAATCAATTCAAACCTGTGCCCTATGGGTTGAGTCAGATTTAAACAGTTAGGACATCATTGTCTAATTTCAGGCTACTAATGCGTTACTCACAGGTGAATGGTCTAAAGGTATAGCTACTAAACTATAATACTGGTGAACACAATCAGATGTACTAACACCGGACACAGTTTCAACCATCAGTAGAACAAGTTGAATAATTCATAACCTAGCCTCTAATTATGTAAATGCTTAAACTTTATCTCCAACCAGAGTAACCTATACAATTCTACTCAAGGAATCAACTAAAATAAAGACAGAAAAATTAAAAAGCAAAAGTTGAAAAGACCTCTTCTTGGTAATGAATTCCAAACAATGCAATACCAGAGAATACAGATATTCCACCTTCCTGCTGTACACCTGAACTGACCCCTGAAGCAGCAATGCAGCTACAAATCCCAAAACATCTCATTAAAAGAATTACAAAAATACCCTTTTCAGAACCGTACAAACGCAACACAGCCTTTTTCAAAAATCAAGAATATATCTGGCACAGAGGAAAAAATTTTCCATAAAAATGTTTTCATGAAAAATAATTTACTAAAAACATTTTCAGATTATTTTCCAGTGTTTCGCAATGTATAAACTATAAAGTAGGTGACACAAATAAGAGGCAGGCCCAAGATTTGAACTTTATGGTTCAAGTTCAAATTTCTACCACAACCCATTTAATTTACTGAGTTCAAAATCTATTCTATTATCTGTACTAATTTTAGTATATTTATCAACACATATACAGGGTTTTGAGCCAAAACTACTAAGTCCAGTTTAAGTCATAACTTGTATGCTAGGTCAGCCCCTACACAAGATTATCAGACAAAAGTAGAGCATAGAGTATAAAGATAGTGCCTTTACAAAGATGAGAAAATAATCGGAAAAACATTTTTAGGGTAAAATATGAGCATTTTACATAAGTGGAGGATAATGTACAAGGACAGTGTTGTAGCAAACACAAAAAGATGATTTTTTTCATGGAAATGTTTGATTTTCTGCTCCAAACACACACTAAAGCTGAAAATTTGACAAACCTTCAGCAAAATTCACATGACCATCATCATAATTATCTCTAGTAATTTCACCAGAGCAAATTTTGAGCAAATATTCTTCAAGATTTTTGGCTAAATCAACACCCCAGTTGGATTCTAAATCCCTAAGTGGCTGTACAACACTGTGAAATTTCACACTTTCTTCATCTGCTGCGCCGCCGCGGCTCGCTTCTTCTTGACTGCTTTTCATCTTGTGGGACTACAAATCCCACTTTCCATTACTGAAAAAGAACCCTAAATTCTACAATTTGTGAATTGTTCAAATGAATTTACAAAGCCCCAATTTTTGGGGAAAGGGTACATTAAAGTGACGTCGTTTAACGTCTGGCTCGGGGGGAGCTGAGATTTTTTTAAATTTTTGGAGTAATGTTTTTCCGCCTTTTTTCCGCTCCGGGGTGTATATATATATGTGTGATTTTATGTCGGAAAATTGAGATGGGCCGAGATAGCCCATTAATGTGGGAAAAAATCAGAAATACTCATATTTACAACCGATATTTGAAAAATAGCCACAGTTTCAAAAGTAATCGAAATTTAGTCATTTTTTCATGTAAAAATAAAATCTGAATAAAAATACCCTTAAAAATCCGGAAAAATTTCAGCATAATATGCTGGAGTTTGATTTTTTTACATATGAGATTCCAGCATAATGTGCTGAAATTTCATAATGTGTTGGAGTTCCAACATAATATGCTGGAAGTTTATACGCAAGAGCTCCATAATCCAGCATATATGCTGAAATTTTTTGTGTTTCAACAAAACAGTGGCTATTTTCCAATGCAAACGTTGGCTATTTTTCGATGACCAGTCCGAAAACTGGCTAGCCCGTACTATTTTCACCATTAAAGTTTATTCGATCCAATCATTTGTTACACCATGTGCGTCCTAAGATGACGTATAATGAATATGAGACTTTTTAATCATGATTTAAATAAGTTTAAAATCATAATATAGCTATATATGATGTTTGGATAGAAAATATAAAGTTTGGGAAAAATCGGATTTAAGTTACGGAAAAACCGACTAAGGATTTGCCTTGTAGCATAGCTTTTTAAGAAATAAATTTCGTGTGTTATATGAGGTCTTTTTGGGACATATTAAATACCAAATTGAAAGTCTTGGAATGTAGTTTCCAACGCTCTTAACCGTTCATTCATACAACATCCGAATAAAAAGATATAAGCGTTGGAAGATGGGCCAATGAGAGGGTGCCAAATTAGAACCTCTTTGACTTTTCAAAAGTTGATATATAGGTCTTAACTCGTCTCTCTCTTCATTTTTACATAGAACCCTACCAGAAAACACCATAAACCTATCCTTGAGCTCTCTAATAGTGTTTCAAATAATACTAATATCCCGGGTACGAAATCGAGAAGTGATAACATCAGAACGATCCCTACGATGTAAGTATCATTAGACCGCCTATCTTTTTTTCTTTGTAGTTCGAGTTTTGTAAGGTACTTCATAGTTAAGAAACGTCTAATTTCTGTATTTAAGTGTTTTAATATCAAGGAAGGTTGATAAATTAGTTTCCTAATATTTAGAACTCACGGGATGGTGATCGAAAATCGTGAGTTTGATTTATTTCACTTGTAGTGGACTGTTTTGTAGTCCACTCGTGTTGGCCTATTGTGCTGCTGATTTATGGAGTTTGGAATGATGAAGGGCATGGAGAAATGCCACATGTGGTAGGGTAGTAGGCTGGTCGCTCGTCGTTGCAATTTCATGATAATTGATAACTTATTGATTGGGTATGTTATGGTATATTCAGGGTTTTTGTTATATTGAAGGTCTCGAATTGTAGTTGGGTTATTTTTGAGTTGTTGATTGTATTGTGTTTTTATCTCGTTTATAGTAGGCTTGAGGGAGCAGTGAAATCAAGGAAAATGCTGCCTGTTTTATTTTAGAATCGAGTTATCATATGAGATACGTGATATACCACCTCCATCTAAGTTGTACACATATTTCTTTGTTATAGGGTTGGCACGCTAGTTGTCATAAGCTTGTTGTTGAGTTGCATTGACGACTTAAAGTATGTTAAGGCTATCCATTCTTTCTTTTTGACATGATCCATATGATACAAACGAAACATGTAAACCCTAAACTTTCATAAATGACTCTATTCATAGAAGTTCTAGGGGTTGTTATGTTTTGGATTCCCTACATGTCCTACTTTCATATTGTCTGTTCATAGGTCTCATGACATTCCGAGAGATATTATTGACTTACTTCCATTTATACATGTATACTGACCCATGACCAGATGGTGTTATATACGCGTATAGTATATGTATATGGGGTATGGGGAAAGGTTATAGCGTTATATACGCACCACCACCTGATCAGCTGGTATACGTAGATGATTTCGCCCACAATGGCTGAGATAATATGATGGGATGCCCTCAGATGCTTGATGATGTTATGTACACATATACCTATGCATGGTATGACATTTATATGCACATGCATGACAATATAAATTTTTCATAATTCACAAAGCTATTAGGATTACAGGTTGAGTTCTTTACTCCATGTTTCTTTCATGTCTTTTATATACTACTTTCATGCCTTACATACTCGATACTTTATTTGTACTGACATCCCTTTTGCCTAGGGACGCTGCGTTTCATGCCTACAGGTCCCGATAGACAAGTTGAGAATTCTCCTAGTAGGCTATCAGCTCAGCGGAAGGTGTTTATGCACTCCATTTGCTCCGGAGTTGCCTATTTGATCAGTATAATTTGAATATGTATTGATTGGTATGGCGATACCCTATCTCGACCTTTATGACATTTATGTACTCTTAGAGGCTTGCACACAAATGTCATGTATATGGATACTTGTATGGCCTAATCGGCCTATGTTTTGAGTATATAAATGATCATGTCGGCCCTATAGGATGTCACATGTATAAGTTTCTATATCATGTTGGGCCGTCCTATATCTAGTATTCCCTTATGTTTTATTCCCGTTACCTCATGACGGCCCTTCTGGCGCACTTGCCCATGACGGTAAGATAAGAAAGATATGTTACATTGGTACTCGGTTATGTAAGGCACCGGGTACCTGACGCGGCCCTGTTGTTCGGGTCGTGACATAAGTGGTATCAGAGCAGTTTTGTCCTAGGGAGTATACAAGTCGCGTCTAGTAGAGTCTTGTTTATGGGTGTGTTATGTACCACACTTATAAGTAGGAGACTACAAGGCATTTAGGATTGTTACTCTTTCTTCTTACTCTAGATCGTGTGGTATAGCTCAATTGTAAGAAATTCAAACTCCTTAATTCTATTTTATTCGTTATACAATGACATCTACATCCTGAAAGACAGTTAATAAGAGATTGAATGTGGCTGTGGAAGAATTGAGTCAGAGGAACTCGATTTTGCGTCATGCTTATGATGAGTAAATGTAAGGTCTTCTGTAGATTATGTGTGTACTACGACGTGTAATCTTCTTGATAAGGATACCTAAGACATGAATATCTATCTACCCCTATGGTAAAAAGCAACGAGAGAATCGGAAGGTAAATACAAGTTTCAACAAGTCAAATGGGCAAGGTGAAGAAGGATACGAGGTACCCAGTTAGTGAAGATTACTTGTATTTACAATTCAGGTAGAGAAATATAAGCATTCTGAGTAACTTTCAACAGTAACAGAGATATATACACTTGATAACACCCATCTCAGTTATGCCTTATGGGAGCTAACAGATATAGTTTAAGAGAAATATGGTATATTAGGATCTAGCTGGGGTTAGAGTAACCCAAAATTATGGATGGATTGTTATCATTAGCTCACATTTTCGAAGGATATTGCAAACGTGGTAATAGTTCTCCTTCTGAGATACACCCAGATGGTGCACTCTAGAATAGTACAGTCAGATATGAATACTAGAATGTTCAGAAATTTCAGAAGATAGGTAGTGGAATCCTAGAAGTAGGGGTGTTCATGGTTCGGTTTGGATCGGTTTTTTCCGAAAAAGAAACCAAACCAAGTAAGTTGGTTTTTTAAATATTAGAACCAAACCAAACCAAAACCAATTAAGTCGGTTTTTTATCGATTTAGTTTGATTCGGTTTTTGTCGGTTTTTTAGTTTTTTCGGCTATTCATCAGTTTTTTCTTAAATATGAGACATACACTACCAAACGCATATTCCAGTGACTATATTTTCAATGTAACACTATCAAATCAATTTCTCTTTGAGAAATCTATCATTTACCAAGATATATTGATGATAATTGAATCAAATAGTGATGAATAATTAAAGTTCTCAATTAAAAATCAATTATTTTTAACATGAAATAAATTTTTGTACTTAGCAAAAGAAAACTATCAATTAAACTAGAATGTAAAGGCAAAGAATTAGATTATTATAATAGCAAAGAACTAGACTAAAAATATAAATGACTAGTATGTACCATAAAGTTTTAGAAACTTTATATAAAAATATACATATATACAGATGTAATAATAAATTTAAATAGCTACTTTTATAGTCGGTTTGGTTCAGTTTTTTGATTATTTTTTTATTAAAGCCAAAACCAAACCAAATTTGATTTTTTTAAAATTCAAAACCAAAACCAAACCAAACCTAAAAAGTATCGGTTTTTTTGGTCGGTTTGATTTAGTTTTCAGTTTGGTTCGGTTTTTCGGTTTTTTATGAACACCCCTACCTAAAAGGGATATATATTTACCTTAGTATGACTTCCGTCCCTAGAAAAAAAAGGTAGAGAGAATGTTAGGCGTCCCAAAGTGCAAGTGAGATGAAGCAAGGGGAGCTCAAAGTGAAAGAATATTTTGTTGAAGTTTTCAGAATAAAGTGATAGACAGAAATATTAGTCGGAGAATAAGAAGAGAGTAAATGAAGTATTATGAGTAAGATATGATAAATGGGTGATAACGGTGAATCAAAATATGACAGGACTACATATTCTATAGTCAAGTGAAGGAAAAGACAAGAAGTTACAAGCCTTGAGACAATAAAAGAGTATAAGCCATAAAGTCATGTCCCAATTTCGAGAAATGAGTTGGTGACTCGTACGTGATTACCAGAAGGAAAAGTTAGACCACTGGAGTAATATAAATTAGTATGGGCTAGTGAATAAGATAAACTGAACATGAATTCGGGACCGAAGGATTTGATAATAGTTGACATCGTGAGAATTTCAGAGATCGCGTACGGCGATAATTGAACGGACAACAAACGAATAACCTTTAAAGGTCATTCAGAAAGATGCTTCTATAAAGCAAGAACTGTGAGAAGAGTTAAGCTTAAGGGACTAAGTGTGCCAGTTACACTAGGTGACACCTTCGTGCGTAAGAAAATCAGTTATCCATGGTACAGAAAGGTTACCACAAGGCAAGTAAAAGTCCGTG